CCACATGCTGGGTCGATGCTGCAGCTGGGAACAAGAACCTGAAGTACTGAAGTCCAAGTCACCTAACTCAGGGTTACCTCTGTCTCCTACCAGCCAGGAGACCTTGGCAGTTTCCCCAAGGTGCTCCACACAGTATCAGAATGAAAATTCAAAGCCAAGCACCCAACCCAAAGCCTGGCATTTAGCCACGATCCGAATATCACTTCCTTTCCCGTCAGATCCTATGGCTTAGAAGCAGCAACAGACAGAATGGAAGCTGGTATGATTGACAGCTATTTGCAGCTGCCTTTGGATCAGCAGAGAATCAGCAGAGGGAGCACTTCTCTCCAGGGATGTTCTGGGTAACAGGGAAATTCACTTGGATTGAGGAATATTAATCTTAAAATTTCCGAGCTTTCTGATCACAAAATATCAAATGGCAAACTTATTAATGTTTGACAAAATTATAAATGTGTAAAGAAATGAGTAAGGAAGTTCAAAACTAACTTTAATATAACAACAATTAACATTTTGTTTAAAACAAAACTCAGACATGGAAGGGGTTAAAAATTATTTTACATGTATTGTTGAGAATGAGCAAATGAAACTTAAGTACTGCTATTTGTTTTCAGAAACTAAATTCAAGGTCCCAGGCCCTAAGGGAGCTGGGGACTTCCCTATTGCTGAACCACTTCTGTTGTAAACAGTTGTCTGAGTTCAGACATCTCAGGGACAACTTAGAAGGAGACAGATGTCTGAGTTCAGACATCTCAGGGTCAACTTAGAAGGAGACAGCTGTCTGAGTTCAGATATCTCAGGGACAACTTAGGAGACAGATGTCTGAGTTCAGACATCTCAGGGATAACTTCTCCATCTAGCTGGCAGAGTCAGACAAACTCATGTTCTCAGCCTAGGAACAAATTCCTACCCTACTTCTCCAAATGTTTTAATTATCTGTTAACCAGTAAAGGTTATAGTGATTGCTGTTATCTAAACCAAGGTGCATAAGTTTTAAAAATATATAACCAATAGCCTGTCATGCCCTAATTAACCACATGCACATGCACTCCTTCTTCCCCTATCACTCTTGAGTTCTGGACCTAATGTCTAGAAGAATGAATTAGGGACCTTGAAGCCAAGTATTGTAACTCTAATTTTTTTCAAAGCCTACTTTTAATAATGGTTCTTAAACACTTTAACCTGCCTTCTAGCCCACCACCCACCACAGGTGGAGAAAAAGAAATGTTTAGAAATGGTTCTTTGGCCGGGCGGTGGTGGGGCACACCTTTAATCACAGCACTTGGGAGGCAGAGGCAGGCGGATTTCTGAGTTCGAGAGTTCGAGGGCAGCCTGGTCTACAGAGTGAGTTCCAGGACAGCCAGGGCTACACAGAGAAACCCTGTCTCTCGAAAAAGCAAAAAAAAAAAAAAAAAAAGAAAAAAGAAAAAAAGAAAAAGAAAAAAAAGAAATGGTTCTTTGGAGCAGCTCCCATCTGCATTGTCAGGAAATTAGCAGTTCAGTTCACAGGTCAGCAGCAGCTCGATCCACTCACAAACACTTCACGGATACACCAGCAGTCCTTCTGTTCAATAGAGTCTGGATAGCAGCAGCAGTGGCACACACAACCTAGCAAGAATAGCCAGGCTTCAGCTAAACTGAATCAGCAGGAATCAGGAGGAGAGACTTGGGCTAACAGGAACACCAGGAGAAGTTCTCTGCTGTGCCTCTCTCAATGAAGCAAAGATCATTGCAAAACTAAGAAGTTTACACAGCTAGTTCTCAAGCAAGCCTCAAGCCCCCGTCACTGTCTGTTGAGTCCTTGTACCCTCTTCTGGTATGTCTGAAGACAGCTACAGTGTACTCGTCATATACATAAAATAAATAAGTAAAGTCATTTAAAAGAGCAGCCAGTTGGTGCACTTAACCTCTGAGCCATTCTTCCAGCCATAGGAGAGCTTTTGAAGAGAATGAAATTGCATTCTCTATACTCTGCACCATGTGATCACCTGCTTTCTCAGGTAAGGGCTTCAGGTTCCACTCTGCCTCCTGTCTGCTACGAGACAGAGCAGCTCTTTTCCCCACTTTATGCCATGAAAATATCTTCTGCAGGCTAAAGAGATGCCTCGGCAGTTAAGAACTTGTTCTTGCAGCCAGGCAGTGGTGGCGCACGCCTTTAGTCCCAGCACTTGGGAGGCAGAGACAGGCAAATTTCTGAGTTCGAGGCCAGCCTGGTCTACAGAGTGAGTTCCAGGACAGCCAGGACTATACAGAGAAACCCTGTCTCGAAAAACCAAAAATAAAATAAAATAAGAACTTGTTCTTGCACAGGAGCCAGGTTGGATTTACAGGATTTACAGCACCCACGTGTCAGCTCCAACCATCCATAAATTAAGTCCCAGAGGACTCAATGGCCTCATTTTGCCTACTTGGGTATGCGTCTACATACATGCAGGCAAAACACACACATAAAATAAGTCTTTCCGAAGTTTTTTTTTCCTCTACAAAAATCATTTAAAACAAAAAAAAGTCAGGGTTTAATGTAGCGAACTTGCACTGTGTAGCTGAAAGTGACCTTGAGCCTCTGGTCTCTGCCTCCTGAGTTTGAAGATTATAGGTATTACCACCACACCCTTTTATGTGGTTCTAGGTATACAGCCAAAGGCCTGTCCACCAAAGCAGTCTACCTAGTAAGTTCCCAAGCCCCTACAACATCACTTAAAGTTGTTTTGTGTATGGGTGTTTTGCCTGTATGTGTGTCTGTGTGTCATGTGTATGCCTGATTCCTATGGGGGCCAAACGAATGTTAGGATCCCCTGGAACTAGAGTAGGAGGTGGTTGGGAACCACTGTGTAGGTGCTGGGAATTGAACCCAGACCCTCTGGAGGAGGAGCTGGTGCTCTTAATTGCTAAGTCATCTCTCCAGCCTCAACATCATTTTTAAATGACTGTCTTATATTAACCAAAATGTCTAATTTCTAACAAGCTTCAGTGAACGTTTAAAATAAATCTTTCTATATAGTTACCTAGAAAATAGATAAAATTCCTTTAGATAAATTCTGCATCAAAGTCTATACATATTTTAAATTTTTAGTCACATTTATTCATATGTGTGTGCACATGTATACTAGTCAGTTCTCGACTTCTACAATATGATACCTTGGTGTTGAACTCAGGTTGTCTCACCTGGCTGCAGGCACCTTTATCCACTGAGCCTTTTCACTTTGCCCATATAGTGAAAAGTATGAAAATGTCCTTGGGAAAGATCATGTTAGGTGTATTTCCTGAACATCAATTTTGTAACCTCAGAGTTGAGGAGTGATTTTTGACTTTATGAATGTATTTATCAAACACAGTGACAGCTTACTTTCTGGCCATTGGACTCTCTCACGGGACCCTCCTTCAGAATCCATTCCCACATCTGATCTCAGCCACACCCCTAGACCCAAACACTACCAAATTCCTAACACCTGTCTCAGCTGTTACACTGAAAATTAACACCAGAGTTTTCTGCAACTTCCAACAACTCCAGCTTCCCAGAAAGTCACCCCAGCTGACCAGTCCCTGGGTTCATTATCCCTTCCTGCAGAGGGCACGACCATGGCCTGTAGTTTCCGTGGGAGAGTCCAGCTTGGCGGTCTGCTCCTCTCTGTCCTTGGCTGGGTGTGCTCCTGTGTCACCACTGTTCTTCCCCAGTGGAAGACTCTTAATCTGGATCTGAATGAAATGGAAACCTGGATCTCGGGGCTCTGGGAGGCATGCGTGAGTCAGGAGGAAGCTGGCACTGTATGCAAAGCCTTCGAGTCCTTTTTGTCTCTTCCCCAGGAGCTACAGGTAGCCCGAATTCTCATGGTGGCTTCCCAAGGACTGGGACTGTTGGGACTTCTGCTGTCTGGCTGTGGGTTAGAATGCTTCCGGTTTCACAGGCCCGGAGGAGTTTTCAAGACACGGCTGTGCCTCCTAGGAGGGACTTTGGAGGCATCAGCTTCAGTCACCACCCTCTTTCCAGTCTCCTGGGTGGCCTATGCCACATTCCAAGACTTCTGGGATGACAGCATCCCCGAGATTGTTCCCCGGTGGGAGTTTGGAGATGCCTTGTTCCTGGGCTGGGCTGCTGGGCTTTTCCTAGCTCTGGGTGGACTTCTCCTCATCTTTTCTGCCTGCCTGGAAAATGAAGATGGATCTTCTCCCTGGATGGCCGGTGCTTCAGTAGAGGAAGAATTTGATGGTTCCTTCCACCTCACATCAAGACCAGTGAGCCAGGTCATCTAGAGCTAGAGCCTACCTAGAAATCTCTATAATAAAGGAATGTCAGTAGGCTCCATTCCTTACCCTTCATGGTTCTGTTGAAAAAGAGTGCTCATAGCAGATTTGTCAAGGGTTTGAGTATCTTAGTGATCTGAGAACTTCAGTTGAGAATTAAAAGTCAGGACAGTATCTTACAAACATGTTTATAGCATTTGAAATCTTATTTATATAGAAATGTTTTCAGTTGAAGGTAATGCTTCAGGCTTATAATTTCAACCCACGGGAAGCTGAAAGAACTGAGAATTTAAGGCCAACCTCACCTGAATGGTGAGACCCTGTCTCAAGCTTTGGGGGTGGGGAGGAGATCATGGTGGCTCTCACTTGTAATACCAACACTTAGGAAGTTGAGCCAAGAGAACTCCCCTAAATTCAAAGCTAGCCTAGACTACTGTGTTAAAATAATAATAAACAACGCTTCATAGTATTATTTAAATACTTAATCACTTTATTATTAAGGAAGATGTTTTAAGAAGTTGGAGTCACCAGAAATAATCTAGTGTGAAGAGGCATTGTATGCCTAGCTAGAAATGTTGATGCATTGGCAAAGGAAAATTAGTTATTGGCCCACAATGGTCTCTATAGCATGAGACGCTTCTGGTGTGAGATTTGAATCACGAGCCCCTGCTGCTTTCAGATCCCAGTGTTCTAGAAGGGCACTGCTGTGTTTCTGTTGCTTCATGAGGCTGTGGATGGTTCCATCGTTCTTACTGAAGGTAATGGTCCCTGTGGATAGTAAGGTAGGTCCCTAGCCTTTCTGAGTTGGCCAGGACTCTGTAGTTTCACGACTAAAACTAGCAAACTCAACTACACTAGGACAAGCTGGATACTCAAGAATAGTTGCGCCTATTACCATCCAAGGTGAGCTTCTGTGTGCAAAGAATTTTCAGCTCCACAAAAATGTCTGTTACCACATGCAAAAAAAAAAAAAAAAAGCACATTCTAAATGTTTTATTATGGAGGAGGATCTGAGCGTGTAGTGTTGACTTGCTTAGCATGTAGAACGTCCAGGGTTCCATCCCCAGCACTAAAGGGCAGCTGTGGTGGGACATGCTTTCCATCCTAGTACTTGGGAGGTGGAGGAAAGAGGAAGTTCAAGGCCAGCCCAGGCCACATAAAACCTAGTCAAAGAGAAAGAGGAGGGGAGTATGGGGGACAGACAAACAGAGACAGATACACACAGACACAGAGGGGATGGGGTAGGGGGAGAGGAATTTATTGTTTTTGTATTATTTGGGGCTGGGGAGGTACAGAGGTTGGGGCATCTACCTAGCATGTAAGATCTTGGATTTGATCTCCAACACTATAGAATAAACACATTTGCCAAAGCAGCCCAAACCAGCATCCTTTTGCAAAAAGCCATTTTGCCAGGCTAACAAGATGTTCAGTGGCTAAAGACACTTGCCACCAAATTGATGACCTGAGTTTGATCCCCAGAACCCACACAATGGTAATAGAGAACTGACTCCACAAAATTGCCCTCTGGCCTCTGCACAAGCACTGAGGCAATATGCATGTACCACTCCCCCAATACCATAGTGTACAATAATAATAAAATTAAGGAAAAATGTTTTAAAAGGAATTAAGTATGCTAATGCATACTCTGCATCCTAACACTCAACTGAGAGGCAGGTGGGTCTCAGTCAGTTCAAGGAAGAGTAAGGCTACAGAGACATTATCTTAGAAGGAAAAAAAAAAGCCACTCCAAGCCAAGGAAAGAGACTGCAAAGTACAACTTCTCAGCAACTTTTCCCTTCCTATTGAAAGATAGGTCCCTGGGAGTTGGATTTCTCTGGAAAGGCCCCCTTCCTTTAATGTGCACTCATCTGTGAACAAACACAAACTGAGCCATCAGGATCAAAATGATCCTCTAGTTTGTGTGTGCCAAAGCTTATTCTGTTCTCCTCGGGCCAATCAGAAGACTATTTCTGATGACTGTTTTGGTTTTTGTTTTTTTCCAGCTACCTGCCTTTCTCAATAGGTTTG